GTGGGTGGGGAAAAAGGCTGCAGTTCTTTCCCCTTCTTTCTTGAAATATGGAAGAGTGTTGGCATTTTCAGGTATTGCTCTTATGGCAGGATATTTACTTATATAAAATTAAGCCCCCCACTCCACATTTACTTCCGTAGAGACCAGCCAGCAGACCAGCAGTTAGGAGAGCAGCATACTTAGCCTCTTAAGGATATTTTTCTAATTTCTACATAAATTTTTATTTTGATGACGAAGACTTCAGACCTTCACAGGTGGCTTCATTGTCCTGAGTCACTAATCCATAGCTTGGATTTAGAGGCTTAGGGACAGTTCAAGCAAAGCTTTTCACCTTCACATTTTCTTCTGAACTGCAGTTTTTGCTGTTGTTCCTTGCCCAGTCTCCCTCCACTTTTTCACCTTTCTGCTGCTGTACAGACAGTGTGCATCTGGGATAAACACACATGCTTGTGTATAGCTTTGCTCTTTCATAAGCTGGACAGAAATTTTGGTTTCTGAAACAGCAGAAAGCATGACAGTGCCCTGAGACTATGTCTAAGACTAGGGAATAAGTCTAACAACACCTGAGAACCCATAATGTAGGTATGCTCTGCACTATGAAATCCCAGTTATAAGAGGGAAAAACCTGCCCCCACTAACAAGAACATACTGTAATCACAGCGAGGCTTTTCTCGTGTGTAAAGCTGAAAGCAGCCATTAAGTATGAGAACTTTGTAAGCAATCTTCCCAGTGCTCCCATTATAATATGGTGGGGTTTTTTCAGTCTCAGTTGAGATCAGAAAATACATTTCTAGGAAAGATGTCAATCAGCTTGCATTTAATAACCTTACTTACTGTAGAACAAGTACAAACAGTGTGATGTAAAATGAAACAACTTTTTATAGTACACTAATCTGCTTTTCATATTCATTTGCTTTCAACCATTGCAAAACCTCCAGAAAAACGTCAAGACCAGAGCTACTTCAAGACAGACAAACTAATCTACCTCTAATAGATAATACTTAGGTTTTCCTAACCTCTTCCATTTTGGGCACTACCAGCAGAATTTGCTCTAAACACGGTTCCATTTTTTTAACTTCATTTTTTTTGCCCTTGTCTTCCTATTTGATCTACGGATTTTGATATCTGTAATGCAGCCATCGTTTGTTATAAGTGCAGTCTCACACCATTAGTGGCCAAGATGCACTTCATGGATGTCAACAATCATCAAAGCATATACCAGCTCAGCCGTCAGTAATGCTGCAGAGGGTGCACCGGGCTGGTACCAGCCACAGACAGAAACCTTGGGAGGTTGGAATAATGCAAGGGAGGAATGGAAGCAAGTCTGAGGAGATAGACAAGTAAAGGAGATGAGTGAAATGGTCTAATGGAACTTAATCAGCTACAGGTGGGTTGTGTTTTCAAATTTTATTTTAACTAAAAGGACCTCAAAACTCTGAAGGCCAAGAGTGGTATGTATAACGTCTATAAACTGAGATAAACCAACACATTTTTGATCCCAGGACATTTTGTTAATACCATTAACAGCTTCAATCATACTCCAAGTAAGCTGCCAAAAAACATGAAATTTTTTACTAAGTTGTAGTGCCAGGTGATCCTGTTTTTTCCATGAATGGAGTGAAATGTCCAATTTTCCCACTGATTATAATCTTTTATTCATTTGTGAAGTTAAAATGAATACCACAGACGTTTGTACTGGTAAGTCAATCAGTCTGTCGATAGCAGTGTATGTGTACTTGTGCATGTATAGTTAAAAAGGCTGAGAGAAAGAAGAGCAGATTTGCTAGTTAAGGGAACAATTTTCTTAAAAACGAGCGGGAGGAAACTATGTTTGTAAAAGTTCTTACAAACTCTTAATAGTACAGTATAGACTATTTTAATGAAGCTTTTTATAGTCAAACTTTTTCAAGCTATTTTTTAAAAATGTGTTCTTTTAACCAGGCCAAGATAGTACAAACATTAAAGGAATTCTTAAAACGTTTTAAAAAACTTACTAGTGACCTCAGCATGGTCCCATTTAACATACCCTGGGGAACATGTGTATGAAATACAATGTGGTTTGAGGTTTTCCAAACAAAACAAACTTAAAAGAGAATACCATTTTTAATAGAAACTATTCAAATTCTCCCAATAGATAAAACAAAACAAAAACAGGTACGTGCTGTACTGCGGCTAAGTATGATAGCACAAAGATCTTTGCTGGTTAACTGAGGGGACTGAAGTTTTATTTTTGTTTTCAAACAGTACCCTCCCCTTTTTCCCAATGTAATTTCTTTCACTGTTCTTGTGTAGTGTTATTACTTTAATTAAATGACTGGCATATATAAGAAGCAATAAAACAACACAGAACTATTATTGATAGTTTAATAAATTGTTTGTTATCTGATGTTTTATCAGACTAAATCCATTCATGTTGCCAGTTGAAAATAAAAATGGAAGCCATGTAGTGGTACTTCCCCCCCAGTCTGTGTGTGTGTCCCCTCCACCCCACCAACAGACACAGTCATACCACACAAGTTGAATACATCAGGTGTAAGACATCACCCTGATGCATCACTTCTGAGAAATATGGGGAGGGAAATATCAGAGCTGAAATATCACAGCTGGCCCTGATTTCAGCTCCTGCCAAACACCTGCAGACTCTAAAAGGATACCAAAACAAAACTCCACCCTGTGGCAAGAGGCCATCCCTTAACAACCCTTCCCTGACTTTGCATCACTATAAAAATTAATTTAACATTTTTTACAGAAACCTTAGTCTTCCTGTCCCAGAAGGCCATTACAGTTCCTTTAGCCATTTCTCTGAATATGCCTCAGAAAAAAAACCAAAAAAACAAAAAACCCCACCATGGTAAATTGACTATTGCAATATTTGATGGCTGGAAATTAATCTGATGTTTTAAGTTTATTATTTGTGGAAAGTTATGAAGGTGGTAGTTTTTTTATTAACTTTCAGATCATCTCTTATTTTGGAAGTCGTTTCATTTGAACACATCCTGGCAAAAATTTCCTAGCATCTGGTAAAAGCTTCTATAGTCAGTGTTGTGAACACACAGAACAGCAAAAGATATAAAATGTGTTGGTTTGTTGGTGGCTTGTTTTTTTTGTTTGGGTGGTTGTTTTGTTTTCTTTTTTTTTTTTTTTTTAATCTTATGTATGGTTGGTGGTGGTTTGGGTTTTTGCTTTTGCTTGTTTAGGGTTTTT